TTTTAGTGCAAAAATATGTTCTCTGTGAATGGCCCCTTGTTGGACAAATTAAACTGGTGAGAGTTTATTTTATAAAATCAGTTTGCTCAAGAATTGTGTCATCCCTGAAGCTATCAACTTAGTGAACAAGAATCACTCAATCTCTGTCTCTCTGTTCTTCCTTTTTATTATTTTATTGAAATGTTGTATCATTAAAAAAAAATTCTGTTGCCATCCTTTCCTGATGTAGTTGGCCTCTGTGGCTGCACAGTGATAAAAGCACCGCAGATTAAAAGGTGTTTTTGCAACAGCTGTTACTGTATAGTGTGTTTAAGCTACACAGTGGAACTCTGTATTGACCAATCAGCATCCAGGACAGGAATCATCCGTTTTATAAGGGAAACCACAGCCTTGGTGATCAATATTTGTTCCCTGCAGCCTTAATAGATTCCCTAATGCCTTCTGAATCTGTTTGTGTGCATAAGTGTCTGCATGTGGGTATTTGAGTCCCTCAGTGTAGGGGATTCTCATCATATGGTGTGAAGGTAATGCAATATTGGCCCTTTAAAGGGATAGTTCACCCAAAAATGAAAATTTGATGTTTATCTGCTTACCCTCAGGGCATCCAAGATGTAGGTGACTTTGTTTCTTCAGTAGAACACATTTGATGATTTTTAAGTCCAACCGTTGGAGTCTATCAGTCTTATAATGCATGGCAATGGTAACAAAATCTATGAGAGTAAAAAAAAAACATGCACAGACAAATCCAAATTAAACCCTGCGGCTCGTGACGACACATTGATGTCCTAACACACGAAACGATCGGTTTGTGCCAGAAACCGAACAGTATTTATATCATTTTTTTACCTCTAATTCACCACTATGTCCAACTGCTTTGGGCGCACGCAAGCATCCAGTGCGTGAGGTGTGTACACGCTCTGGCGTAGTTTACGCAAGCGCCGGAAGTGATCTCTCGCGCGTATATGTCACTCATTGTTTACACAGTGCACAGTCATTGTAGGTACGACGGCTAATCAAAATGGTACTTGCGCTTATCCGGATTGTTCAAACCGACTTCTGAGCCTGCTCGCCAAAGTTATTATTGATTGCTCTTCGGCTGGATATCAACACACTGTGACGAGTCGGCTACGCCAGAGCGCGTACACACCTCACGCACCGGATTCCGTGCGCGCGCTCAAAGACATAGTTGGACATAGTGGTGTATTAGAGGTAAAAAATGATATAAATACTGTTCGGTTTCTGGCACAAACCGATCGTTTCGTATCTTAGGACATCAATGTGTCGTAGTCTCTTCCCCGTGCATACACGCTGGTGTCCTCGTGGGTCCAGGAGGGGTGCGTAGAGGAACTCCTGTGCCGCCAGAGTCGTGAGCTGCCGGACCCGCAGTCCGGACGAGAACCGCACCCGTTACACGGCCGTCGGGCAAGGATGCTGGTCCGTCTAGTCCCTTCAAGCGCCGTGGGCAGAGAGAAGGACGAAGCCGATGATAGAAGCCGCCGCACCTCGCGCCCCGGACCGGAGAGGGGAGCGCGTGCGACCGCCGGACTCCGCCCCTTGCCTGGACCCTTCCTTCCTTCCTGACCACTGCCTTTCCCTTCATGAACCCCTCAGCACGACGAGGACACCAGATCCCCTGTTTATTTTGGACACTTGATTCCCTTTTTTCTGGACACTTTATTTTCTGTTAATAAACTGTGTCTGTCGTTTGCTCCTCCCGCGACAACACCCATTAACGTAAACTACGCCAGAGCGCGTACACACCTCACGCACCGGAAGCCGTGCGCGCGCACAAAGACAGTTGGACATAGTGGTGTATTAGAGGTAAAAAATTATATAAATACTGTTCGGTTTCTGGCACAAACCGATCATTTCGTGTCTTAGGACATCAATGTGTCGTCACGAGCCACAGGGTTTAATTTGGATTTGTCTGTGCATGTTTTTTTTACTCTCATAGATTTTGTTACCATTGACATGCATTATAAGACTGATAGACTCCAACGGTTGGACTTAAAAATCATCAAATGTGTTCTACTGAAGAAACAAAGTCACCTACATCTTGGATGCCCTGGGGGTAAGCAGATAAACATCAACTTTTCATTTTTGGGTGAACTATCCCTTTAAGAAATTGTTGACGGTAATGAATAAAGGTGATCACACATAATCTCTTTTATGTGGACTGAGATGAAGAGCTGTGTCAATTAAGGGTCACTTTACCATCACCAGCATCCTGGAATAGATTCCCAGTGGTACCAGGCTCAAGTGTCTCAAGAAACTTTATTGACTGTGTTCCCGGGTGGGTCATTGTGGGTAACCTCCTTCGGGTGGCTTGAGAGGGTCTCATGGGACTGCTCTAAGCGAAGTGGCTTAATGCTTCCACACACCTTTTGTTCCCTTGACGAGACCTGTAAGTAATGTAATGAACACTACAGGTGACCTTGCTTCAAATAGTAGTTTTTGAAATAAGGAAATTAGCCTAGTGGAGCCCATTTTTGTACATGTATTTGACAGCCAGAATTTTGGTTTGGCAGTAAAAGAGCTTGAAAAGAAAAAAGCAAAACAACAATTGTAGCTCATTGATAAAATTAATTTTGCACTAAAAAACACCCAGGCCAATGTTTCACTTGCACTTGGAAGTTACCAAAGCAGTGCCAATACATAATTGGAACTTGTTAAGACCTGCAAGATTTGGCCAAATAAAATCACACCACGATTATTTTGATCAATATTATGATTGCAGTTTGAACTGCGATTAGACTATGAACATATCGTATCAGCTAAGATATCAAAGGGATGTTATTTTAGTATTATTTATATGCCGTTATTTTAGATTAGATTTTATATTTTGTTATTAATTTATTCAGTCTAATTTATTTATTTTTTAAATATTGTTATTTAGATTTAATTCATTTTTTTTATGCTTCACCTAATACTTATTTCAGGTATTTCAGTTTTATTTCCACTTTATTTTAATGAACAAAAATGTTTTTGATAATTTTAGTTTTAGCTTTAGGTAATGATAATAACTCCCATAACCTGCTCCCATAACCGATAAATGGCTTTTATTAAAATGTTATAATATTTTGTCTAAATTAAGGAATAATACAATAATTAATTAAAAATCAACCATTGTAATTTTATGTGTAAAACAGTATTTTTAGAATGTAATCTTTATAAAATAATGATAATTTATTTTTAAAAGTAGTATAAATTAGTAGTTTTTTTAAGATTTACTTTCAATGAGTGTAAAATGACTAAAGGTAATCTAAATGTAAAAATAGGTAAACTTTTATAAAAATATAAAATTATGTATAAAAAATATGAAATGTTACATATTTTTTTACATATTTTAAAAGGTTACATATTTGCTCACTCTTCTTTGCAGAACTGCTCAAGTTCAGTTAAATTTGAAAAAAAAAAAAAACCCTAATCCAGACTAAAGCAACCACCTAGCAAGTAGCAACCTTATCAACTGCATAGCAACATATTCAGAACACCTTAGTAACAACATGGCAATGGCTAACAATACCGTGCACAGGCAAATAATGCTCAGATTTACTTTAGAAATATAAAAATAGAGTTTACATCATGGCCTCCAGGGATTCTCCCTTGCCGATTCTCCTCTACTAGTGCGTTTCAGCGCAGTGCTGACACAGGCCAACGTGTGCTACACTGATCGGCGCTTTGGTCAGAGAATAGCACAGGGAAAATCTTGTAACAAACCCAATGCGCCAGAGCCAGAACAATGTGGTCAAGTTTTATGTGCACTGCTTGTGTTGAGTTGGCCACCCACTCCTTAAGGTTGTGTAGCACACAGTGCAAATTAAAGACTGCAAGGTCATACATCTTGTAGCTGGCGGAAATGTGTTCTCTGTACCTTGAGAGTGGGAGGAAATATGAGTCAGTCTTAAGATATCCGACCAGATCTGTCTCTTATTTCAGACTACTATATCTCGCAAGTGTCACTCTCCAAAATCCAATTGTGCTTATCGTCCAATATGTTGAAGTCTGAAACTTTTTGTCCTCGCTAGCATTTTTTTTTTCAGTCCATTTGCTTTGTTCAAAGCTTTTTTTTCATTTTAGTTTCATTTGCAACATTTTTTGGTTGAACAGGGCAGCTAGTAGTATTCATTTAGATTTTATTGCAGTGCAAGTATGATTGCAATATTTGTCTTTGATCAATAATTGAATTAATTGACAAGGTCAATGATAATATCTTTTTTTTGTCTGAATATATTAATCTTTTCAAAAATACAATTAAAAGGCAAATCATAAACACAATTACTTGAATACGTCTCTTCTATGAGGAGCTTGTTTTTCATTTTTATTTTTGGTTTTTAATTAATTGTTATAGTTTTGGGGATCATGGTGATGTCCTGGTATCCTATTTTATTTATTTATTTTTTTTTTACAAAAATGCTTTACTTATTATTTGAAAAAACAAATCTGAGTAGACTCATATGAATGTGCATCAAGGTCAATATATTAATTTTAATTTTAAATATATTTAATATATAAACATTTATATAAAATGTATATGAAATAAAATAATTTGACCTTTTTATGACAAAACAACTATAGTTGTCATGTGGTGTGACTCCCCAAAAATAATATTTATGAAATAATAATTAATTTAAAAACTATATATTAAAAAAATACTGTTTACCTTAAAACACACACACACACACACACACACACACACATATTATTCATGGATGTGTGCAGTCATATGTGTTCAGTGTGTAAGGAAATATATTTTTATGTTTTACTTCATGGTTACATCACATGACATTTTTAGAGTTATTAAATTTTAAATTTCTTGAAAATGTTCTAAAACATTTAAAAAGAAACACGTGAAACCCACATGAATACAAATAATACATTTTTAAGAATGTGTGTGTTTAGGTCATTACCTTTTATAGTAGGCACTCTTATTTGTCATTGACTCACACATGCTTTAATCATATGAGGTTGAGTGAATGATCTGTTCTGTTGTGTTTCAGGCCTGATGGATTCAGGTACTCGACGAGAGCTGCGTACAGCAGATCCCAGCCTCCACTCGCTCCGTCACGGCCAGTCCTGAGTATCGGGTATTCACCTCAACCTCACCTTTCCTTTTTCTGCTTCTTTCCCGTCTCAATTCACCCCTGGCTTCTCAACCAGTCCTCCAGCTCGCCCCCAAGATGATTGGCAAGTTGAAACAGAATTTACTGGTGGCCTGCCTGGTCATCAGCTCCGTCACGGTCTTCTACCTGGGTCGGCACGCCATGGAGTGCCACCACCGGATAGATGAGCGCAGCCAGCCGCTGGTGAGCAGCCTGCACACCACACTGCGCACGGGCCAGAACCTCAGCACCCCCTTCATCTACAATAAAGACATGCCTCTTATATTTATCGGTGGCGTCCCTCGCAGTGGCACCACTCTTATGCGGGCCATGCTGGATGCTCACCCCGATGTGCGCTGCGGAGAAGAGACCCGTGTCATCCCTCGCATTCTGGCCATGAAGCAGATGTGGAGCCGCTCCGGCCGGGAGAAAATGCGGCTAGACGAAGCTGGAGTAACAGACGAGGTCTTGGACTCAGCCATGCAAGCTTTCCTATTGGAGATCATCGTAAAACATGGCGAACCGGCCAACTACCTGTGTAATAAAGACCCGTTTGCTCTTAAATCACTCACTTATCTGGCTAAGATCTTTCCCCACGCTAAGTTCATCCTCATGATCCGTGACGGCAGGGCCTCCGTTCACTCCATGATCTCCCGTAAAGTCACCATCGCTGGGTTTGACTTGAGCAGCTACCGGGACTGCCTGACAAAGTGGAACCGGGCCATAGAGACAATGTACACTCAGTGCCTGGAGGCAGCGGACAAGTGCCTGCCCATGCACTACGAACAGCTTGTCCTGCACCCGGAAAAGTGGATGAGAAGGCTTCTGAAATTCCTGAACATTCCTTGGAATGATGCTGTTCTACACCATGAGGAGCTCATTGGGAAAGCAGGCGGCGTTTCGCTCTCCAAGTAAGTGCCGTTGACTTGTGGACTAGTTTACTTTGTGCTGGGTCAGGGTCTTCCTCTCTGTTTTAAATGAGCTATAATTGTTTTCTTGTAAAAGCCAAAGCAGGATTTTGAGCCCAGCATTCAGCATGAGTATCTTGGGTTTATGAGCCATCTGGATTATTTAAGATCGGTTCAGTTATCTTATCTAATTAATGTCACCAGCCATTTGTGTCACACAGGCTGTGTTTGGCATACTAGTGTATGCAAAAAAGTGTGTGAAAGCATGTGTAATGATGTTTCAAACAGACGTATGCTACATTGCTTTCACATGACTTGCGTATTTTATTAATATAGAAATAAATACAGATATTTAGCATTTTTATAAATATGTAAATATTATATACTGTAAAAATAATCCTTATTAATAATAATTAAAAACAAGTTATTATTAATAATTATTTATATTATATAATATTTAGTGTGATCTATAAAAAAAATCATGATTCACATTACCTCTGGGCCTGGTTTACTCATTACAATAAAAAAATAACTGTAAACTACATTGCGTAAACTACATTGCTTTTAGAAGTGCACATTTGACAGTAGCTTGAGTTGACAGAAGTAGCTTGAGTTAGGATGCAGATATAAATTTGTTAATGATCAAAAACAGTAACATCTGTAAAAATTGTAACAACCTCATTTTTATATGGTGAAATTTTATCATTCTGACTGTTTGAGTTTTATTAAAATTAACCATTGGTCTTCCATAGTAGCATACATTTAGATCATGATAACCACAGTTAAAATCACACATATAGCACCTCAATACCATGGTAAAAATGTAACTATATGGTTTCTAGGTATTTGCATGAAAAACAGTAGTCTAAATACATTTAGTATAAATGCACAAATGCTAGCTTATTCACAATAAATACTGTAATTATATTCCATTACATTTATTAAATGTCTACATTAATAATATAATAAAATTCGATATGAATATCCCACATTTCTGCCACAATACCCTGGTGAAGTTAATGTTACTACAGTAAATCCATGGTAAATTATGGCAATTTGTAGATTAAAAAGCCTTCTGACTGTCTCGTTGCACACAGTGTTTCTCCTGTTTGTCAGTGCGGTTTCATCAGCTTTAAACTAGTTTAAAGTCATTTGTGTTCTTCGTACATACTGACAACTGCAGAAATAGTCAGATTTAGTGTGCTATTTCAAACATAAACAACACTTTGTGTTCATTTATGTGTATGTGCAGATGTGTGTAGGCGTTTCTCTCTCTGTCAGACTAGAACTGTACATGTGTTAAAATTCTCACTGACCAGTGTTGCATTATTTTCAGTTGTGGCTGAAAAGAACTTGATAATCCCTAGGGTGCAGTTGTGTACACGTTCTGTTTGACCACAATATGTTGTGTTGCAGCTTCTATGAGTTTTCTGCACAGTGCATGCCCTGAATAGACCAAATGAAGGGTGTAGTTCTCCTGCAACATTCCTGCAGCAGTAAAAACCTGTTGTTGCATGTTGGAACGTGAATCCTGATTTTTTTTTTTTTTCAATATAGGAAAAATTGATGTATAATGAAAAGACAGTCTTAGTTTATTAAATTCAGGTGTTTTTGCATTGTTTTTGTAAATGCAACCACGTTTTGTCAAATGCTTCTCAGAGGTCATTTGTTTCTGCACTTTAGGGAGTTCCCTATCTGTCAGTCACTACGAGTTATGTCGTGACAACATAATGGGGGTTCGCCTGGGAGCCCCAATCATCTCTGACTTTAAGAGAAAACACCAATGAAATTTGGCTAGTGGATTTTGCATACCTGAGCCACTCCCCGTGCATACGGGTTTAAATAGGCAACACGTGCATCCACTCTTCAGATGTTTGCTTCGGAGCCGAGTGGATGAAGAGTGCTATTCTCCACAAAGCCTTTCTTCTCTTGACTGGTAGCTGTTCTGGGTTGGCGTTACGGTGTGAACAGCGGTGCCCCTGTCGTCAGCGATTCCCCTGGGCACTTCAATCTAAAAGAGCAGTTTCCTAAACACGGATAGTTTGTGTCTTTTTAAAGATACCGTTCGGTCCGTGTCCTCTTGGTTGCGGTCGTTACCCGTCTTCTGATGACGGACACGATCATTGTCTTCAGTGTCTGGGAATCCAACACGCTGAAGCGGCATTCGTGGATGACTCATGCGTTCATTGCGAGCATATAAGCATCGCCTCGCTGCGATCTTGCCTCTTTTTGATAAAAGGAGGGGCACCCTCTGTCGTCACCCGTCCCGGTCTCTCTGGCTCGAGCAGAGGACCGCCGGCTGGCGCTCTGGGAGATCTGAGGGTTACAATAAGAGCTTCTCCGCCGGGCACCGCCCCACGGACCTCTTATTCCGCACGTGGTGAGAGTTATGTTCGGTTCCCGGGTGATTCTGCTGGCCCGTCTCGTGCGGCTACCAGCGTTTCACTCGGTGCACCCCCGGAAGATCAGATGTCGATAGCAGCATCGGGGGATGGGCTATCGCCCTCCAAGGATGAAGATTTGGTGGAGCTTGGTTTCTCGGAGCAGGACGTGGCTCACAACCACGCTCTGCTCCAGTGCCTTTTTTCACGGAGGTGCATGAGGAGCTGACGAAGTCGTGGATGGCCCCTTTTACGGCCAGAAGCTGCTCGTCTCCCTCCTCACTACCCTCGATGGCGGGGCAGCCAGGGGGTACGTTGACATTCCCCAGGTGGAGAGAGCGGTTGCGGTGCACCTGTGCCTGCAAAATGCCGCCATTTGGAGGAATCGTGCGTGTCTCCCCTCCAAAGCCTGTAAGCTGACAGCTGCTCTCGCGGCCAAGGCTTACAGTGCTGCAGGCCAGGCTGCCTCTGCCTTCAGTTCACCAGGCCAAGGCACTCAAACAAATGCACGAGGGTAATTCCGACCCGAGGTTGATGCAGGAGTTGCGTTCGGCGACTGACTTTGCACTATGGGCGACGAAAGTCATGGCGCGGTCCCTCGGGAAGGCGATGTCCACTATGGTGGTCCAAGAGCGCCATCTCTGGCTCAACCTGGCAGAGATGAGAGATGTCGACAAAGTACACTTTCTCGACGCTCCTGTCTCCTAGGCTGGGCTGTTCAGCGACACTGTCGAGGACTTTGCCCAGCAGTTCTCGGCAGTACAGAAGTAGACCGAGGCCATCCAGCACATCCTGCCCCGGCGTGAGGCACCAGCCACCGCTCCGCCGCGGGCCAAGCCTCAGCCTGCTAGTTGCCGTGGGCGCGCTCAATCTCTTTTCTCGGTGTGGAGTTAGACTCAGTGAGTATGACGGCGCGACTCAGTCAGTGCCGGACTGCCTGAGTTCCTTCAGAGGCAGGACGGTGGTACCACTGAAACACTTTCAGAGGCTCCTGGGGCATATGGCAGCCGCAGTCACGCCGCTCGGATTGCTCCATATAAGACCACTTCAGCACTGGCTACACTCCCGAGTCCCGAGGTGGGCATGGCGCCGCGGTACACATCGTGTCACCATCACACCGACGTGTCGCCGCCTATTCAGCCCCTGGTCGGACCTTGCTTTTCTACGGGCCGGGGTGCCCTTAGGACAAGTGTCAAGGCATGTCGTTGTCATGACGGATGCCTCCAGTACGGGCTGGGGCGCTACATGCAACGGGCAGGCAGCTTCAGGGCTCTGGACTGGGCCCCGACTGCTTTGGCACATCAATTGCCTAGAGCTGTTGGCAGTGCATCTGGCCATCGGGCAGTTCCGGCCACTGCTGCAAGACAAGCCCGCACGGACAACACTGTGGCGGTTTCGTACATCAACCGTACAGCTTCCCGCGAGTCCTCCCACTGCCAACTGTACTACTCCCTGACCGAGGCCCCCCTCGGCACGGACGCACTGGCACATAGCTGGCCTCGGGGTCTTCGCAAGTATGCGTTTACCTCAGTGAGCCTTCTCCCACAGACACTGTGTAAGGTCAGGGAAGACGAGGAGCAGGTCTTAATGGTTGCGCCTTTCTGGCCCACCAGGACCTGGTTTCCAGAACTCATGCTCCTCGCAACAGCCCTCCCTGGCGCATCCCCCTGATACAAGATCTCCTCTATCAGGGGCTCGGCACCATTTGGCACCCGCGTCCAGACCTTTGGAACCTCCACGTGTGGCTCCTGGACGGGACACGGCAGACCTAGCTGATCTGTCACCTGTGGTGGTTAACACGATCACTCAGGCTAGAGCTCCCCCTGCGAGGCAAGCCTATGCTCTGAAATGGAGTCTGTTCGCGAACTGGTGTTCTTCTCGCCGAGAAGACCCCCGAAGATGCACGATTGGAATAGTGTTTTACTTCCTGCAAGAAAGGTTGGAGCATAGGCTGTCACCCTCCACCTTGAAAGTGTATGTGGCTGCCATCGCAGCACATCACAATGCAGTGGACGGCCGGTCCCTGGGAAAGCACAATCTCATCGTCAGGTTCCTGAGGGGTGCCAGAAGGTTAAATCCTCCTAGGCCACCCCTGGTGCCCTCCTGGGA